CAATATGGAATTCTTTGAAATTTATATGCATGCCTCCAACATCTGAAGAAGAATGGTTAAAAATTGCGAAAGGCTTCAATAGTACCACAAACTTTCTTAATCTTCTAGGTGCTATCGATGGCAAACATATAGAAGTATTTCAGCCGGCTCACAGTGGCTCACTTTACTTTAATTGTAAGCATTATTTTTCTCTTGTGCTATTAGCAATTTGCGAATCAGATTTTAATTTTATTTTCATTGACGTGGGTTCTTACGGAAAAAGTGCAGATTCGCAAATATACAAAAACAGTACACTATACAAAATGATTAATGAAAAGTCATTGAATATTCCTAAACTCAGACTCTTACATAGTTCAGGCGAGCCATTGCCGTTCACATTCATTGGCGATGAGGCTTTTGGGTTGGAAGAAAATATGCAAAGACCATATAGTGGCAACAATTTGTCACCAAAACAAAGAATTTACAATTACAGACTATCCAGAGCCCGCCGCCATATCGAATGTGCATTTGGGATTCTGGCTAATACATGGAGGATCCTCCACCGACCACTAAATGTGTCAATTGATTTGTGCGAAGATAATTATTGTAAAATCTTGTTGTGTCTTACATAATTTTGTTTGTCAAAGAGAGAATAATTATATTTCACCGACAAAAATGCACTCAAGATGCTGTAGGTAACCTAATACCGAGCACAAGAAATAAAGCGGCATATGATATCCGCGACAATTTTGCTGACTACTTTGTGAGTGATGCAGGGGCACTTCCATGGCAATCAAAATATGCATAATAAAAGATATAAAATAAAATTTAAAAGTTTTTTATTTGTTACTGTTGGTATAATGTACAGTAAAATCATCAATCAACATACCTATTAGACATTTTTCTGCACTTGTTTTCTCTTCAAAGTTTGGTTCCAACGCTGCAGATAGTTCCTCCCAAGCATTTCGTTTTATTATTCTATTAGAATATTCCTTGGTCCTACTATCCCATATTGCTGGGTGTGATTCAATTTCAAAAATAAGACGTTCAACAGTATATGACATTGTAAAACGTAATCCACTGCTAAAATGTATATCCACTGCAATGTGAAGTTGTCAACTGAGACGCGTGCGTGCGTGGTCTCCGGCAGAGGGAGAAATGGGTGCGCGGGGAGGTTTTTCTCGCAGCTCGAGAGCTTAGAAGCGCGTCAACGCTCGTACGAGTCGAGCGTGTGACAAAAAGCGCGCCTATACGCGCCTACATGCGCTTCCAAAAACGAGCTCATACGCGCGTATAAAACGCTAGTCTGAAACCGCTCTAAGAGTGAAGACTATGACACAGGTACATCCTAACTCTGGGGTAATATATAGGGGATATGCTCTGAAGTAAATTTTTGATGAGCTGTACTTGTTACCGCTGCATACTGCAAAAAATAATTGATTTTTCCCTCGCGTTTGATTAAATTTACTTAGGCAAGTATTATAATTATATCGTAGCCAACTCATAGTTACCATTAAATAATCATCGCTGACCTGTTTAGTTTCGGCGAATGGGCATTTAGTTAGGTATATGCTCAGACGAAATAAAAATGTTTCGTCTGAGTGTATATGCAAATACAAATGAAAGCGTTCTGTTTTTTCCCTAGGTATTAAAATGATTTATTTACATAATTTTATTCATAAGAACATAAATATATTAAGCGTTTAATAAATTACATCATAGTATTAGAAAATGTATTCAAATCCAAATCACGTGGCTCACTGCTTTTTAATAAGTTACTACATGAATTAGCTTATCATTGGCAGAGACGTTGAGGCCGGCAAATACGAACACGTACGCGGTTGGCACGCGAAGTTACTTCTCACTTCAATTTTGTGCCAATTTCTATATTTTAGATAACAATTAATTCAGTAAAAGCCCTGTATTTGAGCGTAGTGCTAAACACTGTAATGCAGCTCAGAGTTTAAATACCATATGTTCTCTCGACAGTGGTACAAATGTGACTAACACAACGCCCTCCGCCCGCTCGACAAGGATACACATTAGTACCACTCATAATTTATGAGGGCGAACCCGACAAAAAAGGTTTGTCATTAAAAATTATAACAAATTTATACTGAAATGTATAAGGCAGACATAGACAGAGACATACTCTTTAATTTGGTACCATAATCTGTCAATTTCGATTCTAAAAATAGACATAAAAATCATTCTGACGTAATGGCTTTTTACAACAGTAGTGCGTGGTAGTGCATGAGTTATTTCTGAGTGATTTCTCCGTTTTTCTGTGTGTTTTTGGAATAAAAGGTGAGTTTTATACTTTTGTGTATTCCTTGTAATAAAAACAACACGTAGATATATAATTTGTGGCATAAAAAGTGAAAAGTAAGTGTCAAATGTACTTCGAAATTGGGAAGGCCCATTTTAGCGGTTGGGTCAAAAATGTGTTATTTTTACAATTCTCATTAATTTTTAGTGTGAAATGTAACTAAATAATAGTTTTGTAACATATTTTAAATAACTTGACGTTGTATTTATTTCAAATTCACACAAAAATATTTGAAAAATTATTCGGAATTCTCATACACATAAAAATTAATTTGGTTTTTTTATTTTTATATTTTGGTATGAGTAACGAATAGAAACACATAAAACACTCATTAATTTTTAGTGTAAAATGTAACTAAATAATAGTTTTATAACATATTTCAAATAACTTGACGTTGTATTTATTTCAAAGTCATACAAAAAATATTTGAAATATTATTCGGAAATCTCATACAGATAAAAATTAATTTAGTTTTTTTTATTTTTATATTTTGGTATGAGTAACGAATACACATAAATCATTATACATATTTCCAAACATTTTCATATAGATTTCTCCAAAAACAAACATGTAGAATTCAAATTAGTAGTAATTTTAGACTAAAAGTGAAGTACTATGTTATAAAGGGTAATTTATGAATTTTATTACAATTTCTAGCAACTAAAAATAATTTTATTCGATAGTTTATACATTCAATAAGAATCCCTGTAAGTTTTATCCATAAATATTGTCTCAAAGTGAAAATATTGCAAAATTTGCAAGTTAGCAAAAAATTTGCAATTCCCGCCATTTTACGTCGCGAGCCAACCGGCGAATCGAATAAAGTCGCCTTACGAGCATACAGTTAGGACATAAACTGACATTGTTGTTTTGAAATTTTCACTTTAAAAATTGTCAAAAAATAGATTTGATAATATCGTTGACTTTACGACAAAAATGCTCAAGATTAATCTTTTATGACTATATCACATTATGCAGCCATGCAAAGAAAAAACATGTCTTTTACTTTAATTATAAAAAAAAATCATCCTCTCCAAATTTATTGTTACGACGTATTATAAAAACAAACTAGGTTCTTAAGCTTAATCGCCATATTTTTTTTTTTTGCGAATGTGAACTTTTTAAGTAAGTATACGGGTCGATAGAGCGCGCGAAACTGATTAATTATAAAGTTGTTAAAAACGAATTATGGCCGTATTGGCTGTCACGAAATTTGTTACATAAAGGCTCGATAATTTACTTACACTATCGAATAAAAAATTATTACATTAATTAAGGGCTGTAGCATATCAGTGTATCAAATCCTGCTGCTAAACATATGTGCGCTAAAATAGTATTAAATAATTAACAAATAATAACAAACAAATAAAAATAAACGAACAATATCAGATCGAAGATTTCAGATGCACCATCATTATCATATCAGTGTATCATATTCCACTGCTAAGCATAGATACGTTGAAATAGTATTAATTAAAACAAATAATACGCACTTAAACATTGCATCAAGTCATAAGCTAAATAAAATTTTTATTATGTAATCCGTTTGATATTTGCTTAGCTTGCTAATCCTGCAATGTAAATTTGTCCAACGGAGTTGACATTTAAAACAAAATTAATGTTTTTTATTTTAAAATCCACAAGATTAAAACAGTTTTTTCTAATTTTGTTTTGAATTTACTTTTTGTTTGTTAATATAATCTTTTAAGCCGATATTATAATAATGATAATATATTAAATGTGTGACTGCCTCGTTGGTCTAGTGGTTGTAAACTTGACTGCTCATCTCGAGGTACTGGGTTCGAATCCCGAGTCGAGTCAAAAAAAATATTGCATTTTTCCTTTAAAAGTTCTCAGTAGCTGCCCGAAGTCAGGAATTTAGTGGTGTCCCACCACCGTGCCTCGGAAGGCACGTAAAGCCGTTCTGCGCCTGATCTCTCTCCGGCGGGTCGGTTTACCATCTCATCGGTCCATGCGAGTGAGGTAATAGAGAGTGCACATGTCTTTACGTACACACTTGGGCGCTATAATCCCGTCCTGCACCGATGGCTAGTCTTCGTTGAGGTTGCTGCCGTGAACGAAATTCACTCTGTAGGACATTATTTATATTAATTTATATTTTTAATCCCCTAGGTTACATATTTTAAACTGACATTAAAATATGTAAACTAGGCTGCTAAAATGGTATATAATTTAATATTTTGTGTAAATAATTTAACAAAGTGTTGTGTGTTATTTAGTTATAAGGTACAACAACAACAAATATAATATAAAATGTAGTAGAAATATGTTGGCGAAAATTATAATATGTTTCGGAGTTGTTTTTCAATTGTATAGAAATGGAAGTTTTCCTGAAATTAGTTCGTACTTAATAATTCCTTAAAATAGGTTGTGTTGCTTAAATAAAAATGTAAATAAGTAAAAGCGCCTACCCAGATGGGCTCCTAGTTAGAAAAAGAACAGAGACCTGCCACCTAGTACCCAATGTATAAGGTAAATCAAGCACTTGAAATTAAAATTAAGTATTTCTGTGGAATCAGCGCGGGGTTCAATTCAGTTTTCTCGGGTTTCATGACCATTTATAGTGAGCATTTATCCCTTATGAGGTAGGGGATCTTTAACTTCTATGAATTTCTAAATGACACCATTTTTGAACGAATACTTTCAAAATGCTATATAATAATGTTTGCAGATATTTATACTGATCCCAGCATGCCTACACTCGTTTTCCGGAGGATTCATGGTGGCTTTCCCGGCTGTGCTAAATCCGGCGATCCTATCTCCGAATAGCACAGACATCACAGCTACTTCTGACCAAGCCTCCTGGATAGGTTCGTTACACATACCCATAGATTATTTTTATAAGTATACCGATTCAAACAATATGCAGGTTATATCTCGAGTAACAGTGCATATTATGGTAGACAAACTGTGGTCAATGTTTGATGGACTGTTATGATGATGATGCTGATGAGACTGTAAAACGAGGTTGTAGTTCAGCTGGTGGTACGTAATTTTTATATTCTCCTGCGTGATTTATTTTGCTGTCACTGAAGATCGTGAGATCTGCCCACATTCAAAAGAACTATTCTTTAGTACTGAGGATGCAAAATTAGTATGTATATTGCATTACTTTACATACTTACTACATTTAGGATACCTAAAACAACGTTTAATTTTGTTAAAAAATAAGCAAAGATTTTACAGTGTCGATATATTATATCGACACCGTAAAATCTTTGCTTATTTAACAAATTAACATTTAAAAATAATATTTAAATTAAAATATTATATTAATTTTAAAATGATTTATTAAGATGTTGAGATTTCCATAATTGTCAAATGCCAAAGAGATTTAAATATATATACTATATAGCGGTCATTTTGAACATTTGCATACGAAAACTGTGAGCTCGTGCGTGTATTACACCCTCTAGCAAAACATAGCTATAGCAATACTAGGCTTAATATTAATTTGAAAAACATTTTAGCTATTCCCCGTTAGGTGACGCTACTAAATATAAGGTAAAAATGACTTACTTTCTTATTACTTATAGGTAAATAAATAGTGACGTTAATGGATACTCGTAACAGGGGTCTCTTATTACAATAACCATAAATTTTCTAGAACAATCTACAAGATACAATAAAATTTAAAGATTATTTGGTAAATATACATTATTCTTATGATAATAAACCGAAATCACGTTATATTAATTTTAGTATATACGTCTTTTTTTAGTGTAACGTTTTCCAACTTGTCTTGAAAGGTTACAAATTGTAGTATGCAGGATCGGAAGATATAAGTAAAGGATTCCACACACACACACACACACACACACACACATAAAAGACATAAAAGTAAAGTTACAGCCTATATACGTCCCACTGCTGGGCTCAGGCCTCCCCCTCATTTCTGAGAGGGTTTAGGGCAAGGAAGTGTCCGCCGCGCTGCCCAAATGCGTGTTGACGAACTTCACATGTCTTCGAAATATTTTTTTCTTATTCCTCAGACATGCAGGTTTCCTCACGATGTTTTCCTTCACCGCCGAGCACGTGGTAAATCAGCACTTAAAATTGCAACTAACAATTTCATTGGTGCCGGCGGGGATCGAACCCGGGTTACTCGCGTTCTGTTATATTTACAGCGAGCGTTAACCACTGAGCTACCACGGCTCACACACACAAACACACATATATATATATATATATATATATTTATATATATGTGTGTTTATTTTTTTTTTTGTGTTTTTGTGTGTGTCAAATAGCTACATATTACGTTTATATATATACATATCTAGCTATTTTACAACAACATAATATTATTTTTGTATTTTCAGCATCAACTAATGGCATTTCCGAAATCATCGGTTTCCTAATTTTTTCACCTATATTTCAAATCTTCGGTCGGAAGGTGGCTGGTATGGGGTTGAACGTCATCATGGTTATCGGCTGGCTCACACTATCTCTTGCCAATAGTATCACAGTTTTAGTTTTTGCAAGAGCTATTCAAGGCTTAAGTATTGGCGGAATATTTATCTGTGCTATTACTTTATCTGAATATGCAAATCCACACAGAAGAGGCTATTTCATGATTATGAAGAAAATATCATTAGGTGCAGGTTCATTGGCCTGTCATTCTTTTGCAATTGTATGTACGTGGAGGCAAATAGCTGCATTTTGTATAATTCCATCAGCAGTAGCTGTAATATTTATGATATTCTGGCCCGAGAGCCCGGCTTTTTTAGCTATGACAGGACGTTTCGAGGAATCCGAGAGAGCCTTCACTTGGTTAAACGGAAGCTCTGTAAAGAGTAAACGAGAATTAAAAGAGTTAATAAAAGCACAGATGGAGCGACAGGAACTGATCAAGAAATCCGAAAAGATTTCTATTTTAAAAAGATTTACATATACATTAAAAAATAAAGAGATGCAAAAAGCTTGCTTTATAGTTGCACTTGTCACTTTATGTATTGATGCTTGTGGCAGATACTTTCTAATAGCTTATATAACGCAAATATTAGTAGAAATTACTGGCAGTAAATCAATAGCAATGTACTGTTCCATAGTATCTGATCTTTTATTAGTTTTTGCTTTATGTATATCTTGTTTTGTAATACGGATATTTAAAAGACGTACATTATTATTTAGTTTAGGTTCATTAACAATTGCTATAATGTTCTTTATAAGTTTAATGGTAGTTTTAAAATTTAAATATGATATATTTTCTCAAGTATCATGGCTAATCCCGTCCTTAATATTATTACATACTTTTGTAGCTCATATTGGCTTAGTACCAGTAGCGTTTGCAATATCAACAGAAGTTTTTCCTTTGGAATGTAAAGGGATATGTTCTTTTATATCAGGAATTGTATTCACAATTTTCTATGCACTCACATTAAAGTTAACACCTATGATGATAGAATTTATCGGTGTTTCAGGTACTTATGCTGTGTTCGCTTTGCTAGTAATATCTTGTTTAGCAATTTTGTACTTTATTTTGCCAGAGACTAAGGATAGGACATTGCAAGAAATAGAGGATGAAATAAAGGGCACTATAAGGGACAGTTCTGATGCAGATAAACACTTGTTATCTGGAAAAGTCATCTCTGTGGATACTTAAATTATCACTTTATGAGCTTGCGAGGGTTGTATGGGGTTTTTGAAGTAAATATTTTACTACGTTATTTTGAAATAATGACATAGTCATAATTATTATTGAATTTGTTCGATATCGGGACGTTTTGTATGGTGCTGTAAGCAGTTATAATTAATGTTATTCTTCATTATAAATTGAAATACCAATAATGACTCATTCTAAATTTTAAATTATGATATTTAGACTTTAGTTTAGTTTAATATTTATTCAAAATTTTATCAACCATATAACAACATTATTTATGATTTTTAAAATCTAGTTTTTTTTTTTGCAATTTAAGCTTAGAGTTTCCTCATTCATATCATAATAAAAGAAATTCGGTATTAATATAGATTTAAGACAAATGTAAAAAATTATGTAAGCTAGAATGTAAATATCCTCATTTTCCTTGGGCAATTTTAAAATTTAAAGTTAGTGTTTATAGCGTATACGCATGTGATTAAAATGATTCCTGTGTAAAATAAAAAAAGACACGTCAAAATAAAAAGCCAAACATTTTTATTTTTATTAATTTATTTTTGAAGTTATTATTATTTTGTCAATTATATTAAGAACATTTTCTGCGAAATATCGTATATGAGGTAAATATATCTGGCTACGTGCGTCCCACATTTGGACAGGCCTCCTATTATTTCTAAGAGTTTTAGAGAAAGAAAGTGTCTGCCGCGCTACTATTGCGTGTTGTGAGGCTTTACCTGCCGAAAACTTTTTATGTTTTCCTTCATAGAGCACGCGGTAAATCAGTACTTAATATTGCAATTTATAATTTCATTAACACAATCGAGGATTGACCTTTATTTGCTGACGTTGTGTCTTAACAAGCGACAGGACGTGGCCCCTAAAGTGACGCCCGATAATGCCAGCGTCAATTCGCTTGCAAAGTTTGACCAATAACTTAAATCTTTTCCTATATTAAATTAGGCGCATGTGCAGTAGTGGATTTTTACGAACTCATGACGATGAAGATATAAAGATAGATGAATGCAGTGCCTTTGTACATAATTATATTTTTACCATTATCCTATCATAACATAAACTGTTAAATAAGATGAAGAAGTATATAGTGCTTTAAAACTTAACTCAATTTTAATCTAGACTCTTAAGCATCAGTCAGATATTTTATTATTTTTATTTTATTTATTTATTTAGGTTTTCATGCGCAATGTTGTACATATGGCGGACTTATCCCATAGCGCATTGTCTACCAGAACAAGAGGCGTTGTAGTAATCAAAATAGAAAGATTTAAAAAATTATTACATTCGTATATATATATATATATAAATCTTATATAGGCGATGCAAAGATTATCCGCACGCCTCTAGTGGCGAAATTTAGAAGCTGTCTAAGGACGACACTTTGTTTATTTGTTGAGGTTATGTTTAGATTATTCAGATGGATCACGATTATATACGGAAACCTGTTGCTAATAAAAGCAGAAATACGAAATATTGTTGCGTTCCTCAATGTAGTACTTACGGAGATACGGGAATAAGTTTTCATTTATTCCCAAAAGACAAAATTATGAAGAAAAAATGGAAGACTGCTTTAAGAATAGGCAAGCCAATTTCACCATCAATGAGAGTTTGTTCTCATCATTTTCAAGCTTCAGACTTTTTTCCAAACAGTAAGTATAATTATGTTTTAATTGTTTTATTATACATAAATTATATTTATATGTATTTCCTATGTTATTCATTTAGTTTACGCTAAGGCGAGTTTCTCGTCAGATAACGAGATTATTTATTGTTCCAGATTCTAAAAGGCAGAAGTTGTTTCCTTATGTCGTACCGCCTCAGAATATTCCTGCTAATAATAATAAGCTCTGATAAAGAAGTACCATTAGTCCAAAAAATAAAATCAATTGATCCAGAAAATAGGGCTGATATTAGACACAGGAAAATAGTGGAATCAAATAAAGAGCTTGGACATGCTATTGAGAATGAAGAAACTAAATTTGAAGATGGATTTGAGGACAATAATATAACTGATCACAACAGTCATCTTCATGTCATGACTTCATCGACACAAGTCAATTTAGTGGATTACAGAAATTATCGTCCCCGAGAAGATTGGAGTATAGCTGACATTCTTTGTGACAAAGAACCTTTGGAAAAGTGCACTCAAATAAATTTTCTTCCTATGTGGGAAGAGGATAGATCAGCTTTAAAGCAATTAACCCTCTCAGATTTACTCAGTAGTGATATGTATTTATTTACTTTTACGAGTATTCATTCAATAGAACTTTTAGAAACATTGGTGACTTATGTTAGTGAATTGGCCTTAGATGCTCCAACAAATAAGAAAATAAGAGACAGAGTTATTTTGACAATGGTAAAAATTAAACAAAATATGTCATTTAGAGCCATTGGTGTTTTGTTTGGTATAAACAGGCAGACATGTTCTAATTATTTTAATAATATGTGCCCCATGCTGAGTAGAGTACTCAAAGTTATTATTCCTTCGCCTGATATCGAAATGATACGTAGCAACCTAAATCATTCCAAAAATATAATAATACAAGAATTATATTAGACTGTGCTGACACTGTGATTGAAAAATGTAAATGTTTAAAATGTAGAATATTGATATACTCTCAATATAAAAAAACAATACAGCGAAGTTTAATATTGGAATAACTCCTTCTGGCCTTATAACTGAAATAAGTGCATCTTATGGTGGTCGAGCATCAGATAAACATATTGTAAATGAATCAGGAATCTTAAATAAATGCGAGTTTAATGATGGAGTGATGGTGGATAAAGGATACAGGATTGAATCCGAATGTAATGAAGTTAGTTAAGGATATTAATTGAATAGTTAGTACAAATAACATTTGATTAATTATGCAATGTATTTACATATTAATGTTCTTGTTACAGCGTCTGCTTCAGCTTGTCAGGCCTCCTTTCTTGAGTCAGAAAAAGCAGACGACTAAAGAAGATGCAATCCACACTGCAGAGATTGCACGGGCAAGAGTGCATGTTGAGAGAGTGATACAGAGATTACAATATAAACTTCTACATGGACCATTACCATGGTCACTGGCGCCTTATTTTGATGATATATTAATTATTGTTGGTGGTCTTACAAATTTGGGTCTACCAATTATTCACAATGATAAATTTATGTAGTTATTGAAAATTATACCTAAAAGCGAAACAAGGGAAGCTTATGAATAGGAAGGGTATTGTAAGAGTGGCAATAAATTTTTACAGTGAATAAATAATTTAGTACAGTAGTAGTAGAGTTGTATTTATTTTTATTCAAATTCAGTCATAATTTGATCCATACTCGTTAACTATTCTAGGAAGAAATTTCTCAATATAAACATTAACAAAAAATACACAAAGGAGACAATCATTTTTGGGCCTACTAGAAATATTAACGTCGTTTAATGGTATTTACACCAAAAAAAGACACCAAATTATAATAGTAAATGGCCTATAGATTTTTCGAAAATGTAAACGGAAACAAGAAATCTGAAAAAAATTAGTTGTTTTGACATTCGTGTTCTGATCATTGGCTAAGGTAATGTACTGCATATTAATAATATAATGCATATTAAACTGCATATTAAAAATAATAATAACATGCCTGCTGAACATGCAGTATTACTCAAACACTGCCTCACATTTGGCTATCTATTGTGGAAGGAAGAGTTCTACAAGCAAGTAGATGGTGTGGCGATGGGCTCACCTGTATCTCCCATAGTCGCTGACATATTCACGGAGGACTTCGAGGAGAAAGCCCTTCTTACTGCTCCTGTAAATCCAAGATTCTACAAGCGGTACGTAGACGACACTTTCACAATTTTACCATCTGACAAAGTAACTGCATTTTTAAACCACCTTAACTCTATAAACTCTAAAATACAATTCACAATGGAGTTAGAGGCAAATAATTCTTTAGCTTTCTTAGATGTTTTAGTCATTCGAAATCCTAATAACACAATTGGTCACACTGTGTATAGAAAAAAGACCCATACCAACCGATATTTAAATGGTGAATCTCACCATCATCCTTCACAGTTAGCTACCGTGGGTAAATCTTTGTTTCAGAGAGCACGAGGGATCTGTGACAGAAAACATCTGGCCACCGAACTTCAGCATGTCAAGCAAGTATTGCAAGACAACAAGCTTCGGATCTCGCGCCTACGTCACAGTGACCGAGTGAAGCCGGCCACAGTTGAGCGTGTACCTGCTGCCGCCGAAGAAGATTAGTCAATTTTTACCATCCGTCAAGTGTAATATCCCTCTACAAGATGCAGGATTGTACAAGTTAGATTGTGAATGTGGTCTCTCTTACATAGGTCAAACAAAAAGATCCATAAAAACCCGCGTGAAAGAACATATAGCTGACGTGAAGCACCGACGCTCCAGAAAGTCTGCAGTCTGCGATCATGTTCAAGATCGTCCCCACCATTACATTCGTTTTGATAAACCACAAATTCTCGCAAAGGAACACCGATTCCTACCAAGGATGATACGCGAGGCTATTGAAATTAAAAAACATCCAAATTTCAATAGAGAAGATGGATGGGTGCTGCCACCTGCTTGGGATCCTATAATTAACAAAATTAAACCCAAACCTAAGCATACCACTGCAAGACTTCATGATACTATAAGCTCGTTCTGCGTAAATCGGACCAAAAATTAATATTCAAAAACTGAAGGTAGCTGGACTAACTATGACATTGGGACGTCAAACATTTCAGTCCCCCCCGTGACCATGGTTGCTGTAAAGCACCCGAAACGTCGGGAATTAAAAATAAGTAAAAGTAGTGAAATAAACGCGATAAAATCCGTAAATTTAGTTTTATTCAATGTGTAGTGTTCGCGTAAATTTAAGAAATCATTAGTTTGAAACATCTTACTTCCTCACTATTTATCATTGTGTAATAACATAGATAAGGCATGTTAATTCCTAGTCATTTTATTATGATGTATACTACTTACTAATCAAC